CAGATTGCATTATTCAATGGGTGGGACCCAGAGCATGCCAAATCTGTCTGATCTTACAGGATGGGCAGAAACAACAGGAGAGAGATGGTGCCTCAAGTAACTAGGCCCTATGACTAGCCACTTAAATTGCACCTAGACACCTACTGTTAACCAGTGTAGTTTGCAAAGCAGCACTGTTAAATAGGGATACTGTGGCATGTCCATAACTATTGTCATCATACTCTGGACCAGCTGAAGCTTCCAGATGGTCTTCAAGAGGCACATTGCAGTAATCCACATTTGAAGTAATCAACACAGGAGTGACCATGAGAAGTGCCTCTTAGCCCAGGGTTGCAGCTGGCACCTAAAACAAATCTATGTGAAAGCCTTCCTGGCTGTAGCTGCCGTCTGCAAGCAAGAGTTGAGAGTCCTGGAAGATTCCCAAACTGTACCAATTCCATCTTGGGAAGTACAATTCCGTTCAGAATTAGAGAGGGAAAGTCTGAAAGATTGGTGCACCCACAGCCAGTTTTTGCTAGATTTTATTTATTTATTTCAAGATTTATAAGGCTGCCCAACTCAGACTGTGTGACTCTGAGTGGCATATAATATAAACACAATAAATCAAAAAGAAAAAAAACTAACAACAAATAAACAGTATATAAATACAAAATGTAAAATGGCAACAAAACACACAACAAGACAACCTTGGGGGGAGGGACTCCCATTCAACCGACCCCTAATGCCTGGGAGAAAAGCCAAGCCTTAAGGGATTTCCTAAAGGCGAGGAGAGTTGGGGCCTGTTGTATATCGGGGGGACATCATTCCAGAGCAGAGGCAACCACAGAAAAGGCATGCTTCCTAGGTCCCATAAGATGACAAAACTTAAAAGAAGGAACCTGGAGCATGCCCTATGTGGAGTGGGCAGATGTTCTTGGGAGAAGGCAGCCCCTCAAGTAACCCGGTCTTATACCATGGAGGACTTTAAAGGTAATCACCAGCATCTTGAATTGTACCTGGAAGCCTATCGGGGGCCGGTGCAGCTTGTGGAGTAGCAGTGTTACATGAGCATAATGAGATGCACCCACAATACCTGTGCTGCTGTATTCTGGACCAATCGAGGCTTCTGGATGGTTTTCAAGGGCAGCCCCATGTAGAGTGTATTGCAGTAGTCCAGCCAGGAGATAATGAAGGCATGAGTGATCATGAGCAGGGCCTCCCAGTCTAGGAATGGGCATAACTGGCACAGAAGACATAGTGGTGCAAAGACTCCTTTGGCCACAGCTGCCACCTGCTCTTTGAGCAGGAGCTATGAGTCCAGGAGAACCTCCAGATTACACACCATGTCTGAATGGTGTAATGCCACCCCAAACAAAATCAGATGGAAACTCTGCAACTCTCAGATCTGGGGGACCCAAAACCCATAGCCAGTCAGTCTTAGCAGGGTTGAGCTGCAACTTGTTCTTCCCCATCAGACCTTCACAGCCTCCAGACACTGGGAAAGAACCTTGACAGTTTCACTTGGATGCTATTGCATATTGATGATACCTGACCCCAAACCAACAGATGATCTCCCCCAGTGACTTCATCTAGAGGTTAAGAAGAAGAGGGAGAGGGCAGAGCACCGAGGCACCCTAAAAGGCAGGGGTCTAGGGCCCTACCATTCCCCTCCCACCAACGCCAAGTGGAACCGGCCTTGGAGGAAGGAGAACCACAGCAAAACAGTGCCTCCCACCTCCAACCCCCTTAGCCAGTCCAGAAGGATACTATGGTTGATGGTATCAAAGACTGCTGAGAAATCAGTGACAGCCAGGATGGATGCACCGCCCCCCCCCCCAGCTTGTCATAGGTCATAGACAAGCATGACCAAAGCCATCTCTGTATTATACCTAGTTCTGAATCATGAATGAAAAGGGTCCAGATAATCCACTTCCTCTAGGACACTCTGAAGCTGGAGCCCAACCACCTCCTCAACGACCTTCCCTAAAAAGAAAAGGCTGGGCAAAGGTTGTCTAGATCGGCTGGATCCAGGGATGGCCTCTTGAGGAAAGAGTGTACCACCGCCTCTTTCAGAGCTGGCAGGATTACCCCTTCTCTCAAAGAGGCAAGTTAAAGCTTAATTCTGAAGGAGAATTTGGGGGGTCAAGCTAAAATCCCCTAATCTAAATGTACTTTTTCAGGGAAACTAAAACTCAGCTCAGCCATAAAACATTTAGAAGGCCATAGAATGCTGATTAACTAGGAAAAGATACTGTGAAGTGAGCTCTGAGAAAGCAAAACAAAGTGACTCCCTAGAAAGAAACAATGATCATGAGATCCTGCCTCTTTATTCTTTCAATCCCCCATTGTCTCTGTAGTCCTGCCACATTACCTCATAGTTAAATCCCAATGTCCTCACTGACCATACTAGGCACATGATATGTTATATTCAGTCAAAATACTTGCTGTGATATATATCCAATCAAATACTTGCTCCTGTATTCAATCACATATATACTCTTATTTTGCAAAAATCAGTAGAGAGTATACCCCCTCCCCTTGATACGTAGATTCCTCCATCTCCTAAACCCCAACAGAACAGCCAGTCATCACTGTCCTCCTGAACTCTAAAAGCGTGGGGGCCATCTGGACCTTCAGGAATAGAATGTTCCAAAATGAGAAAGCCATCACAGATAAATCCTACTAATGAGGCGAAAAGGCCTGAAGGATCACTTTATGGGAGATCACATAGAGTGAGCAGGCTCTGTTTGGAGAGATGGTCCTATAAGTAATATGGACCCAAGCCAAATAGGTCAAAATCAGCACTTTGAACTGTACTCAGAAACTTAACTGGCAGTGTCTGCAATATTGGTCCTCCTGTTCTTTTGGCTTCAAAGGTCAATTTTATTTACTGATATGTTTTATATAGCTGCCCATCTCACACAGGTGACTCTAGGCAGCATACAAGGATTACTGGTATTGAATGCTTCTGACAGAGCTACCCAGAGAACCAGCCTTTGATTCTATAGTTAGGGGCTGTTTGTGGAGAAAAATGGTTAAATAAGATTTGAGACTCCTGCTATTAATCAGTGTTCTATATAAAGAAACATTCTTCAGGGTGTATACAAGGGCATATACAGATTGTAATGGGAAAATTAAAAATTCCTACAAACTAAAGGAGTGCATCAAGTTTATATTTCAGATCCTTTTTAAAAACCTTTTATGTAAGTGACATTGTTTTGGCCCTAAGTGATTTAAGTTTTCATATACCTATGGTTTTCAAATTGAAAAGTATATAGCATTCAACATGAAATATGCTTTCAGTAAAGCTTTCGTTTGGACGCTTGGACACTATGATGAAACCAGCTTGAGAAAAACTGTTTTGCAGGGGACAAGCAATGGAAGAAATTCTTGATCAGACTGACATCAGAAGTGTTATGACATCAAAACACAAGCCTTACCCCCTTTTTTATATGTGTTGTGATGTCACATGCATGTCCCAAAGGGTTAGAGCTTGCTTGTGACATTACAATGTTGCTTTCGTCATTTGGACCAAAATGGCAAATTCCTGTGGATGCAGCTCCTATCAGCTAAGAAAATAACATTTGGTTTTGACTGAGGTGGACTGCCATATAAAATCATAAAATATAAAGATTTGTATTTGGAGAGAATGATTGTTTCTTTTTAACAATTCGTTACTTTACTTTTACTTTTATTTTAGTTTGGAGGTTTTAATTATGCTTTTCATTTGGTTTAAGTTCTGATTTCTCTTTTATCCTGAAGCTAAGTTTTAAATGTTTGTTTCTCTGATTTGTCTTGGTAATCAATAAATGTATGTATATTACAACTGTTTAACTATGGAAACAATATTTTAATATTAGTAGACAATGTGCTCTGACAAAAATAACATAGATCTAGGAAGACTGAAGTTTTCACACACTTGTGCTAGAGCTGCTGGGAATCGAGTGGCATATAACTTTAATCACCATCATCATCTCCCCACCTCCCTGTTTTGGCAATTTTAAATACAGGTAGTCCTTGACTCATGTACATTCATTCAGTGACCGTTTGAAGTTATGACGGCATTGAACAAATGGTGGCTATGACCAGTCCTTGGTGTTTGGCTGTCCCAGCATCCCCACAGTCATGTGATCGCAATCTTTGCAACCCATTCACACTTACAACCAGTTGCCAAGCACCCCACAATCACATGATTGCCATTTGCAACCTTCTCTGCCAGCTTCCCCAGAAAGCTAATCGGGAAGCCTCCCACAACCCCTCTGTGCTTGTGCTGTGGCAGCCACTCGTGCATCCCTGCGCACCCTACCTGACCCTCGCACCCTTGTACATCCCCTCACTCCCCCGCACACCCTACCCAACTTGCACTGCAGTCCCTCACACCTTCCCCAACCCTTCTTCATACCTCCATGCACCCTCTCTGACCTGTGCTGCACACCCTCATGCCCTGCCTGACCCACGTGGTGCTTCTTGTGCACTCCCTCACCCCCTTGTGCACCCTCCCCAACCCACCCTCATGCACCCTCCCCAACCCTCCCTCTCACTGCCACGCACCCCCTTGCTCCCTCCCCCACCTAGCAGCAGCCACTTATCTGTCTGCGGGCCTGGGACTTGCAACTTCCTGCCAGCTTCCCCACTGACTTTGGTTGTGGGAAGCTGGCAGGAAGTTGCCTCACTAACTACCGTGGGATTCAGTTAATGATGGCAATGGGACTGGAAGGATTGCCATTGTTAAGCAATGCAGTCGTACTTTATCACCGCATCGCTTAGTGATGGAAATTCCAGTCCCAGTTGCCATTGTAAGTTGAGGACTATCTGTAGGCAGCATAAATAGATTAAGGAAATGCTGGTGAATTACCATGGCTAAAGAAATACACAAAATCATATGATAGTCTTACTGGATAAATGTAAATAAATGCTAAACTTGGAAACAGTTGACTGCTACAGCTAGTTTAATTTTCCTCTGAACTTGTATTAAACTCAACCTTTGTGAAGATTGCAGAGGTCCCTGCTTGGACACTTACCTAAGAGCTTGATCCAGGCTCATTCCAGTGAATTCAAAGAACTTGAGGTACTCCCCTGCCACCATCTTACTGAAATCATTACTAGAAATGAGAGAAACATCTCATTTACAGACTTGTTATATGAGAGAGATAAAAACTGGAGAAGAGATCATGACAGGCAGTATGGGCCAGGAAAGGCCCCCAGACTGTAGTGGCCATAGAACATGTGCAGTTGTGGGAATGTTGCTGCCAAGCTAGTGGAAAGAGAGGATAAGCCATCCCTTTGACATAAGCTATATGGGCCACAGCAAAAATACTACCATCCCAAGAATGTTTGTAAAACCAAACAAAAGCTTCCTCTGTTGTTTCCATTATGAAGGCTGTGACTTACCTATTATAGCCATAATTCCTTCCTCTCAAGGGAGCAATGCAGTAGCGTAGCAGGCAGCCATATTTCTTTACAGAGTGAGTAAAATCTGGATGAACAGTCTTCTCTTAATATCCACACATACTTACTTCTTTCCCAGGTGACGAGCTACATCTGCTTTTTTGAAACCATCCAAGTTGTACAGCCTTTTTGCCAGGCGCTTAGCAGCCTCTAGATCAGCATTATGCCCACTAGAAAGAGTGTCAGTACTACCCAGGGCTAGTTGCTCTGTGCTGTCCACTTCAGAATCCGAGTCAGAGACCAGCTGACTGAGATGATGCTTGCTAGAACAAAAACACAGACGTTGTCATATTAGCCTTGCTATCTAGTCACTTTTTATCCAGTTTTCCATAACATGTTGTTTCTATGAGAAGAGGGATATGTTAGTGCTTCTGGGTGAGGATCTATAGTGGACTACACATCCGTGAAGGAGTGGGGATGGCATTGCAATGGAGATCAAATTCTGGCCATCGCTGTCTTTCTGGATACAGGTGAGATCGTGAGATCACCCACTTGCATTCCGGACAGCTGCTCCTCATGACCGCAGGTATTGAGGCTTTTGCAGTCGACTTGTGAATTGAGCAGCTGGGAGTCGAGGGATTTCAATCAAGCTCACAGCCGTGATGCAGCCTATATGGACACAAGGTTTGCACAAGCTCCACTTTCTTAAACACTCTTGGATGTAATTAATTTACAGCTAAAGAGAGATTTTCTGAGAGGTAGCATAAGAGAATTCCACTTGGTGAGTCAACATTCTTTCTGGACTAAAAAGGAAAAAAAGGGGGGGGAAGGGTTAAAGATTTAAAAACTTTTGGCAAAAAGCTCAACAAGAAGTGGATATAAGAAAGTTTCAAATGAATAAAGGGGACAGCTTTTTTGAATTTGTGTGTGTGTGAGTGAAAGTGCTTTTGAATGAATTGGAATTAAAATAGACAAATGAACTGGACCTTTGTGGGAAT